GCATCTTTGTCAGCTCCAGCCTCGAGCAACAATCGCACAACTTCCAAATGGCCTTCCTGGGCTGCAGCGGACAAAGCCGTATCAACCTCTGTGTCTACTGCATGTTTGTCAGCTCCAGCCTCGAGCAACAATCGCACAACTTCCAAGTGCCCAAGCGAGGCAGCAAGAACGAAAAGATCCCCCTTCGGGTCCAGTGGCTTTTGAAGCAGCCTTTCAATGTCAGTCACATTATTTTGCTGGCAGTTCCTGAACAGTTCTTCTTGCATGTCCTCATCAGGGGCACACAAGGGCAGAATTACCAGCTGGACACTTGATATATAGTGCTCGTAGAGGCAAGTCATCCTCTAATTCGCCATGCTCATCACTGAAGAGTCTTTGCTGAAACCTTGAACACCCAACCCGAGCTGAAAGAAGTCGCTTAAGGTCTCGAACAGTTTGCCCACTGTCCCCCATGTAATGTAGCTCATTCTCGTCAAGCTGAGCAACCGTGTTGCCTGACACAGCGGTAACCTGCATCGTTGAGGTTTCATAAGCAAGAGAGCGTCGGCTTGAACCATGGTCAAAGTCCAGGTGGAAAAAACCATGCCAAACATTGAGAACCAGTCACAAAGGGGTGCCGAACTTGGAGGTAGTCGGGGTGCCCCTGTCACATCCACTCACTGGATGGGACGAGCCACACCACCCCGTACTTGTGACCCCTGGAACAAGCGTCTTCAAACCTGAACCAGACGAGAACACAATGAAAGATCGGCCTTCCCTCACACAGTCCGCCCACTCCTCGACCCCCCTTCAGAGCACTTGCGAGACGGCTGTATGACCAGCTGACGGCTTGTATGACCACCAGCGAGACAGCAACATTGAAACCCTCTCGGCAAAGAAAGCGCTGAGAAAACGATAAAACCTCAAGAAGAAATTGATCAAGCCTTGCAGGATCATCACCAACATATAAGCCTGCACATAGTCAGATTCAACTGGGTCCCCCCCAAGAAAACATAATTAGTTATCCTCGATCTGTACTTATTTCATCTTATTTCTACTACCTGCTTGGAATCCGTGATGCTGAACATATGCTGGCCAGCTGCTTGCCTGCCCGCCCAGCCCATCTTTCGGGCGCCGCGGCGGGAAGGGGATGCCCCCGCCGCGGTCGAAGATGTCCATCCTTGGACCAGCAAGGCGTTCAGGCGGTGGCGGGTGGCACAGTGGATGATGGGACCTGGTGGCCGACTCACTCAAGAGACCTCAAAAAGGATTATATATATATATATATGTATAATGACTATACTTTTGAGGGAGGTGCTGTAGGTGGGAGAGACATGGAGAGACTGTAGCTATGATCTATGTACTACAAGGTGCGACCCAGTTCGGGGGGGTGATTGGATGGAAAATGCCATGGAATGTGGGGATCTAGAAACCACCCGACCTGGCTGGTGCCTAGTAGGGTGTGATGCGGTTTGTGTTTGCACTAGAGTCGGAAAACGCTGCAAAGTAAACCCATCGAGTAGGGGGGGGCATGATTGAAGCACACGTCTGCATGATTGCTCAAGAGGCTGGGATTGACACACCATACCCCCCTTACACCCTCTCTATGCACTCTAAGACTCTAAGCGCCTTCAGAAACGTAGTCAATTCTAGGGCATCATTCAAGTGCCCATTGTGCAAGCAAGTTCCCTACTTCACCCTTCTCCCGGTTGCTTGACTCTTGAAAGCTCCTAAGCTCCAGCAGCCGGGACACCTATTTTTAGTGAATTTGAAGATGTTTTAAAGCCTTAAGCGGACAATGTAGCAGGTAAACATGCCAGTCCCATGCAGGGTCTGGGTCTAGTGCGGGTCTCCCCGCCCGGCGTCCGAGCACCGTCGCTGGGCGTTCCGCGCACCACTTGCGACTCGTCGCTGGCCACGCGGATCACGATGGGAGGCACCCTGTGGAAGCTGGACTCTCCGGGCCGGGCCGCAGGGAAGCCACTTGCCAAAAAACCTCCTCCTGACCAGCAAGGTGAGGCAGTTCGTCACCCAGTTTCTGGTGTTTCACTGCCGGCGACGCGAGCCGGGTCCCGGGGACATGAAAAAAAACACCTTTGGTTAGTACACTCCCTGAAGAGCCGGAGGTGGATGCGTCACGGACTCCAAACAAATCACCCTTCTGCCGGGTCACCCAAGCAGGTGGGGTCCATGGTCCACTGACGACTGGGAGCGTTTTAGGATGCAGAGTGTTTGAGGGAGAATACGGATGTCCAACGATGTCCAAGGGTGATCTGGCGTTAGCTGAGACGAATTCCGTGAGATTGTTGAAATTGCTGGAACATACTGAAACGTGTTGCTGTCAAAGTCACACCAGTTCAAGTAGAGGGGTTCAAGATGAATATACATCAAATGGTTTCACTGACCTAGAAGCCCCACCTGGCCTAGATGTCACTTGTCCTTCAACAGCCTACGGCCGCCATATCTGCGTCCTGTCAAACATCCAACAATTTAATTTATTAATATAGTTTAATATTAATGTAGTAGATTAGTAGATATTCGATTGCATGATTCTTGGCAAAGTTCGCCTCTATAGTCCCACTCACTCACCCGGGAAGACCATGTTGCTCTATGAGCACGGGTTTCTTCCGCATCCATGTTGGTAAATGGGAGAGTATGTCGTGTGTGTGTGTGTGTGTCAGCACCTGTTTCAAAGGTCCGACACCAAATGTGCATGATAATTCAGCAGGGGGGCCATCCCTCTCACCATTGGTGGATGGCCAACGAAGAGCCCAATGGTAAGAACTGCAAACGTACCGCGCACTGCGTGCGCACTGCGTGCGTCGGTTCCTTTCCTTCTGTTATCCTTTCCTACTCTAATGGGGCGATTCGTCAGCCTCGCCCCGTAGCTATAAACAGGAGGCTTCCGTTTATTCTTCTACTTCTAGCTAACGAACAGGAGGCTTCGCTTCTTCTCTACCTATTTGAAGCGATTCATGTGTCTATATTTGTCTCACTTCCCTATGGAACCTACTCCCCTATGCATGGCCGTAATTCAAGACTGCCAAGTATTCAGTAACTAATTTTGGCGAAGCGTTTGTTAAAACACCTTCAAGTGCGTGGACTTTTCACCACGTTCCAGCTTTCCTTTGCGAGTCAAGCGCTAAGTATTCAGTAACTAGCATTCGGGATGTCTCAACTGATAGAGCTCTTGCGAGCAACAATCCAAGTGTGTGTGGTTGCAGGTGGCGCAATGCCTGTTGCGCCTGTTTTTTTTCATGTTCTTTCGAAGTCCAGGCGGGGCCACCGGCCGCCGCGGGGGACCTCTCGGGCCACCCTCCCCTCGGCACCGCCCGACACGGACATGCTGGGCTTCTCCGGCGGTGCTTGCGGCGAGCCCAGCTGGTGCTGCTCAGCCACTGCTCGAACGCCTCGGAGCCGCTGCCGACCCAGGGGACTGCCGATCAGTTGGGTGGTTTTTGTGGGGGGTCTGTCTGGGGCGGCAGTCCTATGGCAGTCCCATGGAGTGTCTAAAAAAAGGGAATTCCTGGAGGTACCGGTGGAATCTGCGATAAAGACTAGCTTTCGTCCATCCAATCGCAGGCAAAACCCCCGGGCAACTCGTTCAGGCTGCCGCTGTTCTTCAGCAGCTCCATCAAGATATACATCCTCAGCAGCGGGTCCAGGAAGACTGAAGAAGAAAACGGCATCTGTTCATCTCTCCCTTGGTGGTTCAGTCAGTCTGGCTAGGTTTTTTTTTTTGCGTACCAGATCTGTACAAGTAGTAAACCAGGTTGATAAACCTGCAAAAAGGGGCCTCTGGGCCTGAGGATGTACCACAAATGCTGCAATGTGACAGTCCAAAAACCAACTCCATCAAGATCCATCAACGTTCACTGCATGACCAACTCAAGTTGGTGAACACACACCAGGACCTTCCATGGGGTGTGAACACAATGGAGATCCCTAAGTAGTGTAGGGGCTTCCAGCCAGGTGACCCCATTGAAGGTGCTGGTAGAAACACCACTTCACCATGCATTGAGCAACGTCCCCCACGCCAGAAACCCAACCGCCTCGTGGCGGGTAGGTATGGGATTTCGTTTGGGGTCAACCTTGGAAGATCCCGTTGGGCCCATTTTGGATGATGGGGGGCCCGGATGTTGCAGGCCGACATCCATCCATCCATCTCTATAATAGTTAGTGACGTTCTTCTTGATTCCTCACAGCTCCTTCCAGGTGCACCTGGGACAGTTCCTTCCATCAAGAGGCCAGTTCTCCTCTGCTTCGCTCCGAGCCCCGCGTTCCGGCGAGCTGGAGCCCCCCCACAAATACGAGGGCACCAGCGGTAGAGTCCGGGCCTCGCGAAAGCGTGACTTCGCCGTTCCCTCCGTGCGCCAGGCCGACGGAAGGGCTCCGTGCTTCCGGCCCAGAGGGAATCGACACACCGAAATCAGATTGAAGTGACTTTCCCTAGGGCTCCAAGTACCTTCTTAGAAGGTGTTCTGGGTGGGTTTAGAGGGTCCAAATATACCTTCTAAGGAGGTACTTGGAGCCCTAGGGTATTTCTTAGAAGGTGGGACTGGGTTGAGTGCCAGGAGGGTCCAGTCATACCTTCGTTTCGGAGGTACGACTGGAGCCCTAGGGTAGGCCATAAGACGCGACACTTTCGGTCTTTGGGGGGGCCCTGGAAGGTGGTGATGTTACGCTGCCAGCCATTCCACCTTGGAGGGGCTGTTTTTCAGAGCCCATGAATCTTCATAATGGGCACTCCTCCAGGAAGACCACCCTGCTGGAAGCCCTCGAGCAGGTGCACGGATCTTGTGGAAAGTGACAAGTGACACATGAACACACTGTAATGTCACCTAGGGTGCCATAGACATAGTAATGCTCCGGAATCATCATATTGATCCACACATGCCGCGATAGACTACGTCCTGTCAATGAATATCAATGACTTATATAATGCATATTAAGCACTCTAAGCTAGAACATGCTTCACCATCCAAGTGTGAAACACATCATGATATCTTGACATGAAGCTGTGAGTGGCATGTGGCTTGATATCCATCTTTGCATGGAACTGCAATGATCAATACAGGAGCCAAATCCAAACAGTTTCCACAAATATCAAAATAACTAAGGTCTCATTACCAGCACCTTCCAAGAGGTGTCTATTCACAGCCTCTTAAGAGGTGAAGCGGTGTCTAAGAACCACCTGTTGGAAGGTCCTGGTATGTCCAATGATTGAAAAAGTTTGACTGCCTCACCGCCTCACCTAAGGCTTTGCTCACAATAAAGATTCTATTCATGAGATGTCTCATCCCACTCGAGTACTCACACCAACCAGTATAGTCTGCCTAACTCACCATCCACCTGCGCCTTTTTGGGCCAGGCCAAACGCTCCGCCCGAGGCTCCAACGTCCGCCTTCCCGTGGAAGGTCACGTCGACCTGGAGCAGCTGGCTGGAGCAGACCGCTGATGTGCTCCGCGGAGGGAGAAGACCGGAGCACATCAGCTGGAACAAAACTCCATGTAGACTCTTGATGAATAAACCCTCCATATGAAGAGGTATTTCAACTCAAATGGGGTGGTCTATTAATCAAGAGTCGACATGATGTAAAAATGAATCTTCAGTGCACATGCACTGAAGAGAATCATAAAACACTGAAGCACTGAAGTGTTCATAAAACTTTATGCAAATCGACTGAGTTTTATTCAGGTACACTCAGTCGATGAATAAAACTTAACCCCCTCGTTTGAATTGGACAATCCTCTTCAGGCTTTGGGGGTTTATGAATCAAGAGTCTACATTGTTCCCCGGTCAAGTGAGATCACTGACCTCTAGTCCACTCCCCAAATACTCGCTCAACCAAATAACGACCAGCCCTTTAAAAGCAGACCCAAAACAGACCAATACTCTCTCTACAGTACTCTAGTCCTATACCCATATAACCAGACCTTTGACATCCCCACCGAGCAGCCGCTTGGGGCGTCCTAGACTTCCACAGGCGCTCCCACTCCCCGCATGGGAGACCTTTGTCCCGGCGCTCATAAACCGCCTACGACCCTGGGACGTGGCCTCCAGGTGTGCGGCCCCGTGTTCTTCCCCGTTTGGGCTCCTGGCCCACATCCTCAGGTGCTTGGGGTGGGTGCCAGCGGGGGTCTAACCACCGAACCTGATATGGTTAAAGCAGTGGTTCAAGCATGGTTAAAGCCCCAAAAGGCTCTCAGGTCTCAGCTTTCGGGTTTCACCTCCTCGCCCCCGGTCGAACCACTAAAGATTAAAGGCTCGATCCTCCGCACCGCATAAAAACCGGCCTCCGGAATGGAGCCCGGAAACTCCTCCGACGCGATCTTCCGGGCCTCGGGTCGCCGAGTTCTTTCGGTGCCCACCGGTGCTTCGACCGAGGAATCGGTGCCCGAGTGTGACACCGAGCCAGGACGGCAGTGCGAACGGTGGCAGAACGGATTGGATGTCAGCATGAATACTGTTGGAAGGTGGCATGCGTCATGTGCAGGGCTGAAAACCACCCGTTTCTGGGCCCGAACCCATCCCAGTTGATGGGCCATCACACCGCCACACCCCCGAACCGCCACACCCCGCTGGGTTCCCACAAAGCGTGCCGCCTTCCGAGCAATGGCCTAAGGGACCGGGCGGGGGACCGCGTGGCGGCAAGGAGGCGGAACCGAGCAGGAAGGGGTGGGATGGGGACCAGCTAGAGATTTAAAGAATCATTCCCTAGGGCTCCAAGTGTCTTCTAAGAAGGTGTTGAGGTGGGTTTGGGCCAAATACCATCTGAGAGAAGCAGTCAAAGAGTCTACATAGAGACCAACATCATATGACATAATTATTATGTCTTTTCTCCGGTCGTTTTCGTTGAGGAGAATGGACGTAGGATTACCTGAAACAATTCGAGGAAGCTGGATCAATCTAGGCACTCCCGACACAGGGATCGCAGTGAGGATCAGCGATGCCCGTGCTCTGCTGGAAGAGAGAGAGGTACCTAGCCGCGGCACGAACCTGCCACATCTTCTGGAGAAATCTCCCCCAAACTCCACACACCAGAACGTGGGACGAGGTTTCTGTGGTGACTATCATGTGAACTTTCTCTACCTGGATCCCCTTCTAAAGACTGATCATCTGTGGCTTGTCACATCTGAGACACGACTTTGCTCCGAGCACCAAAGACCAAGAGTCTTATGCTGCTCCAAGATGTCAAGCGCATTTGAGCCTGTCATTGCATAGCCTGTCCCTGCCGAACTTGAAACCAACGGATGGCAGAGTCACCCATGGCTCAAGCCCGAAGAACACTGAACTCCTCAGACCGCGGTCTCGTCACGGCGCACTGGGAGTTCAACATCTCAATGCCAATTCGGCTTAGCACGAAGCCTCAGGCGCAACTGATGTGTCAAGCCCGTCCCACGTCCCACGATCACCACCTTCTCAGTACGAACGACAACGACAGGACCCTGCCTCGCTTTGAAACCCTACTCAGAAGGTCTCTGGACTTTCCAAACCCTCGAAACGAAGGTACGACTGGAGCGCTAGGGAAAGGAAAGTGTCTCCAATCACCCTCGAATCATACAAGGGCATGTGGATCCATAGGACTTTGATCTGCTTGGACCATAGGGGCGAGATCCTGGAGTGCACAGCACAGCACATCCATGAGTTGACAGTGTTATTGTCTAGCACTAGTATTAGCACTTCACTAGGCTTCCAAGACCATTCAACGAAAGGTTGACCAAAATCAAAAAAAACATCCTGTAAACCGTCCAAGTGGAACTGCAATAGTTTAACTACCTACAACTTTACCTACCTGAGAAACAGTATGTTCAATGTTTTTTGGTCATACGGCATTTGACAATTTTTTTTGTCATTACGGGGTTTGCCCAAATACAGGCATATACGGTTTGCTCTCTTGGCTCAATAAGGGTACCATATTCGGGTGCAGTATTCGCACTAGTATGTTGGAATACGGTTACGGTGTTTTTTCAAAAACATATTGAAAAAATACTACTGTAGTATCATACGGGTACCCCCAAATATGCATCCAAATATGGCCAGTATACGGCCACATTCGTATACAGTTCCCATTCATACAACATGGAGTCCCCCAGAGAGATGTCCGTGCCCGTGCCCACATATGGCATATGCACAAAAAAAAGCGGTCAATACGGCTTGAGGCCATAGTGATCAAAAAAGAGTGATCATATGGGTTTCCAGGTACCTATACCACCTGAACCATTTAATAATTCAATAAGGTTTTTAGCTAAACTACTTTATATAAACTACCATACTTATAGGCCTCACAGGGCACCCAAACAACTGACCCGCATGAACATCCATTCCGCAACTATTCCAATCCCATTCGTCTCAAAGCGCGATTAGCTCGGTCCCGGGCGGTCGAGGAAAGTGTCGATCTCCTCCATGACCTGCCGACCCGGGAGCGCGACAACGGGAGCAGGTGTCCGGCCTCGAAGGTGTCCGGCGACCGATGGTAGAGGTATGTAGAGGTGGAGGTCTTTGCTAGCAGAAGAGAGGTTTTGTGTCCCTTTTTGGGGGAAAGGTGGAGGTCTTTGTGAAAATGGGTTTGGTTCTAAATCTGCCAAGTTCATGATCCCAAAATAAACATGATCCCAAATTATGTTGCAAATTGTTGCAAGGTGTGGTTGTAACCCTTTGCTAGATCTATGTCCATCGGGAAAAAACATCTTAAGATGTTTCCGTTGGCCTTTCCGTGTGAGACGATGTAGGGATGAACATTCGGCCGTCCTGGCGTGTATATCCATGTGGTTCTGGCTGAATCGAAAGCCAAAAAATCTAACTTATGGTGTGTCCAACATTGTTCCCCCATGTCGAACAAAGTGATAGACAACACCGGGATCCAGCTACATACCACAATATTAGGCGACAAATGGTTCCAAACTCTAAGCCCTAAAACCAGCACATCCAGCACCAAAGAGTGGTTCTTGGACGGAAAGTACCTGGTCAAAGGGGAGACCATGCAGCCCCAGTACCAACAGTGGTCACATGTGGTCACCCCTCTTCCCCATCCCAGAGCCTTACAGCTCCTCCCTAAGGCTCCAAGTACATCCTCAGAAGGTGTTTGGACCCTCCCGGCACCCACCCCGAACACCTTCGAAACGAAGCTGCGACAGGAGCCCTAGGGCCTATGAGAACGCAGGCTCCGTCACGGAAAGTCATCGCTACGTCTCGGCTCCGGCCGTGCCGTGGCCGTTCGAAGGCGCCTCATGCTGGGATCGCCCCGCTTCAAGCTTCAGACTGGCCGCGGCGCGCCAGTCAAAGCGCCGCGGGGCGCCAGTCGGCGCCGCTTCGCGCGCAGGGACCGGACATGAACCGGGCAGGAGGGGGGACCTCCTGTTGATCGGCCAAGATGAAATCTCAACTTGACTGAGCTAGATCTATAGAGCTTACCATTATAGTAATAGGCCCGACAACTTCAATGATTCTCGGAAATGGTGCAGGTCATTTTCGCATGGCGACTCAAAAGTTGGGACATCGGCGAGGGAGCATCTGAGTCAATCACTTCCCAATTGAAGACACGTGTTTAAACAAAATACGTTAAAAAAATATATAAAACACTAACACATATAACAAATGAACAATAAACAACGAGAACAAATGAACATGTTATTGTTATTGAAAAATAAAACTAAAACATATAAGAAACAACATTAAAGAAACAAAAAGAAACACTAACATGCAAAAAACAATGTCGGGCTGGTGATCTGAGGTGCATTGTGTGGCCCCCCCCCTGTGTGTTTTGTGTAGACTCTGGTTTTTTCACACCGTAAGCCTGTTGTACTTGGAAACCCTCTGCATATATGGGGAGTTCACCAGGGATTGATGAATCAAGAGTAAAAGGATCAGGCCAGGACGGTCCGTGCTTTTATAGTCAAGAGGAAAAGTCAAAGTCAATAACACATCAAAAATAACAAATCAAAACAATCAAATTAGAAACAACTCGAAAAAGTAAAAACATAAAGTCAAAAAAAAAGTCGGCTCTGATATTTGTTCTTTGACTTGGCGCCGGCTACAATGTTGACTGTTTTTGGACTTTGTTTAAATCTTGAAAACTGGCCCTCTCCAATGAAACATGTTTATGTCTATTGCACAAGCCTATGGGCACCCCATGGCCCATCATACATGCAAATGAACCACACTTCGAGAACAAAAACACACTATAGACATACTGTACATCATATCTATATATAAACATAGTCTCAAAAAATAACATGCCACACCTCCCTGCCAAGGTCCGGGAAAAGCCAGGATCTTCTTTGTTCCGAAACCTCCTTCCCCCAAAGCCATTCCACGCGCTTTGGCACGGCGGAATCGGCTGCACCTGCGCAAGTCCTGCATCCCGACGGTCAGCCTCTTCACTCTGTCGAAAGGCGTCCGTGGAACGCCGCGGGTTCCGGCGCACGGCGGAGGGTTCCGCAGATGGAGGTGGACCTTCTCAGAGACCTCTCTGGAACTGCCAGGACTTTGGCGTGCGTTTGGGGGTTGGTGGGCCAGGGGTCAATGGGACCGGCGATCTATTCCAGTCCCATGGATGGTCTGGGTGTGGTGTTGGGCCTCCGGGCTGAAGTGTTGCGGCAAAGTTGCAAAGATGAGACTGAATATGGAAAGGACAACTAATCCAAGTGGAGTTCAAGGGCCAATTCCGGAGTTCAATCCTTTCTTGTAAAGCAATGAGGCAGAACTTAACATTACCAAGCTGGTAATGCAGGGGTTGGCACATCAAATTACGTACATCCCCTGCAGGATGCTCCTGAATCCTCAAACCATATTGCCATCCTGCACCCTGCAAAGGATCCGAATCAGAAAGCAATCGCATCGCCCCAACAAACTGTGGAAAAGAATCCGCGTTGTTTTCCCTTTGATCAGCTCCCAACTGAATTTCCTTCATTCTACCTGGCATTCCCAGCCACATGAAGCCACTCTCTTTTGCCACCTGCCATGGCTCAATCCCCGCCAGGGACCACCTCTTCAACATGGTTCCCCCTGCTTGGCTCGCGCGCCAATTCTTCCCCCCTCCCAAGAGGCCTAGAGAGGTTGAACAGCCCTAAAGCACATACCTCACCCACTTCAGATCGCTCCACCTCGCTATCTGGTACCTAGACATCCAAGACCATCAACAAAAATGCTTCACCTGGTTTTTGTAGTGTAAAATCCTTACCAGCACCGAAACCAACAGGTCTCCTCTGAAGGCGTTTGTAGACTTTTTCAAGTCGCAGTTGGTGACCTGTTGGAAGGTCCTGTTAGTTGATTCAGTAAAGCCTATTAAATTCATGGTGGGCCAGGAAGCCTCGCTCTCTTCTCTTAGCCCTAGGCTTCCAAGACCATTCAAAGAAAGGTTGACCTGGTAAAATCCTTAGTAAAACAATGGTGGTTCGGTAAAGGCCATTAAAACAATGGTTGTTGGAAGCCTAGGGTTAGTGATCTTCAAACCCCAAACGGAAAAGAAACGCGCGTCGTCCCAGCTGGGAGCGTCGCTGATGCTTGTGCCGTTCCTTCACCTTCCGCACCACGTTGGCAAAGTCCTCCCGCACCGCAGCGTGGGGCGACGGCGAGGAGGATGGGGGGAGAAGCCATGGGCGTCGGCGGCGGCACGCGACGGAAGGGCGTTTTCCCAATCAACATGTTCCTCGGGCTTTCCCAACATGGCCTCGAAAAGAGGCTCCTCACCACCTCCTGATCACAGTTGCTCACTCGTATCTTCATACTATCCCTTCTTCGCGACCCTCGAGCATCGGCTCCGCGGGACGCGCGCGGGTTCCGCGGCAGCGGGGCTCCAGCAGTGAGGTGTTGGGATCGTCCGCGGCGCCCAGGACTTCTTGGAAGGACCGGACCTCGGGCGTCCACGCCGAAGCGCCGTGCCACCGCGAGGAGGAGGAGGAAAGCGAGCGAGAAACGCGGGCTGAGGGGTTCGGCTGAGACGATACGAGGGGATGGAATGGAATGGAATGGAAAGGGAGGTATGAAGAGGTGTGAAGAATTAGATGTGCGAAATGGGTCGTGAGATGCCTTTTTTTGTTTGGGACGAAATCCATGTGGTGGAACATGGAGCACTTACTCAGCAAGGACATTTTTTGTATAGTCAGTCTGCATAAGGCTGGGGTTGTCTCTATCACGGCCAGGTAGGCCTTTTTCCAGCAACATGTGGCCGGGGATGGCTTTTTGTCGCGCTAAAAAAGCAGCCGGTGCGTTTGAGGGTTTTCTGTAGCGTAAGGATTCAGTGATCACGAGTAGTCTCACACACGACGTGTTTCTAAGTATCCAGCGTTTCAGCTGTGAATCAGGCAAAGAATCGGACCAACTCCCTAGGGATCCAGT